GCGCCTGCGGGACGTCGGCACCGGCTCAGCCCCGCACCCCACTTCTCAGCCCCCGCCCCCGCGCTGACGGCCGGGGGGACTCAGCCGCGCCGGCTGTCCGTAGGGTGTGACTGAGCCGAGGGGAGAGGGGCCCCACCCCCCACCCCCCAGAGACCCCCCACCAGGCCCCGCACTCAGGCAGGCCCCGCTGCTCCCAGGAACCCCCAGAGCACCCGACACGAGTGTAAGGCCACCACCGCCAGGACACCCCAGGAAGGCCAGGAGAGCCCCCACAGAGCAAGGCCAGGGCCCATTCGCCCCAAGGAAACGGCGCTCTTGCCGCTTTCCAGTCCAACCCCCAGCGCCCCGGCCCCCAGCCCACGGCCCTCCCGCCCTCCCGCGGTGGGGTCCGGGCAGGGCATCTGCTGCTGGGCCCCCGGGGGGCTGGGGCACAGGTGGCCCCCGCTCTCGCCCCAAGGAAACGGCGCTCTTGCCACCTTCACAACCTTACACTCGTGTCGGGGTGCTTTCGGGGGTTCCTGGGAGCAGCGGGGCCTGCCTGAGTGCGGGGCCTGGTGGGGGGGGTCTCTGGAGGGTGGGGGGTGGGGAGGGCGCGGGCCGGGAAGTTGGGGCCCCTCTCCCCTCGCCTCACACCCTGCGGATTGCCAATTAGGGGCACTTCCCCTAAAGAGAACCATTTCCATCTGGGGGGGCTGGCGCCTGCACCCCCACACCCCAGGACTCCCTGGCCTCCTTCCCGACCCCCCAAGGCCGCAGTGACCCCGCAGCGACCGCTCCGAGGGGGCCTCTCCAGCCCTGGAGAGCTCGTAGGCAGGAGTCAGATGCCAGGCCGGGTGCACTTCTCGGGCGCAAGCGGGGGTGCGGGACGCCCCAAGTCAGCGCCCGCCCCACTGAGGCAGACACGTAGAGCCGCAGGGGTCGCAGGCGTCTGCGGGTGCGCTGGGACCCCCAGCAAGGGTGCGCTCGGCTCAGGCCCGCGAGGCCCGGCCCACTGACCAGGGGGCGCCGCCAGCACCCCCAAACTCTCGCCCGCCCACAGAGGCCTCGACGGCGCCGCGCGGACATTGACTCCGGCTGCGGGCTCAGCCCGACGGGGCGAACAAAGCCGACGGCGGCGCCTCGGCCAAGCGGGGCGCGGGGGCC